CAAACAATGCCGACAACATGATGGTACTGCTCCTGAGAGAAATAACTTGATTTGTTGTGTACGTCGTAAAACGTGTGGGTACCCAGTAAAACAAAATACTTAAATACTGTATTTCAAAATTTCCCAAAAGTTACGTGGGTCCTGGATAAATGGCTTGAAATATTTAATTTCATTGAATTAAGGGTTTGATTTGCCTCAGAGTTAAATAAACTCGGGATTACATTTGTAGAGACACTAACGCAGTTACATTAGGCAGCTTTTGTATCATGCCTTTTGAGAGATAACCTTGTCCCTGAAAAGGACAAGAACGGACACCAAAATCTGACCATAAATTAAAACTCCTCTGGTTCTCCACGACTTCGTTTCGCGAGGGGAGCGTCTACATTCGGCCTTTATTTTCTTATCTAAAAGTCACTTTCATTAAACAACCACGAGTGATACGGAGAAGAATTGTGCAGAATGCAAATTGAGAGGGTAACTTATAATCACGATATTTTACTTGTTGTGTGTATAAGCCATATACCCTGTATATAGTATGAGGTGTAGAGTGAGTTTCTCGTATTTCTAGTTTACAAGAGCTTTTAACTTGCTGCAATTAAAATTATGGTTCCAGAATTTTACGTCCATTGTGTAACACCCATGATTCCCGAGTTCACTAGTGTAATGTAACTAATGTCTATCCATCAGGAAAGTACTCCTACTAGTCGTTTAATTCTACTATGCAAACTCTCTAGGAAGGAACAAAGACGGTTTTACTTGCGGCATGGTCTTTTTAGCCGTATTTTATTCAAACAAGTGAGGTTGAAGGGCCAGCAACAGCTTTCTCTTTCTTTCATCTCAATTCCACCAAGAAGGAAAAAAGAAAGAAATAAAAAAAGTAAAAGATATAAAAGTTTCAAAGGATTTAAAGAATTTGGCCCAGATCTGTCGCTCGCTCTCGCCTCCGGGAAAAAAAATATGCAGGAGGGAAAAAAAGCGGGTGAAATTCACCCCTCACAGTCGACTACCAGGGGGGTTTTATGCATTCCTTCTTTGTAATTCCGACGAAGGGAAGTTGAATTCAGAAAATGTTTTGACGTTTTGTGTCGGAATTGAATTACATTAGGAAAGAATTAGATTGACAAACACTTGAGGACGTCTAAATACTGTCATTACAATCACCCTAGGCAAATTTGTTCCAATAATTATAGAAATACAGCCTTCCAATATGAAACCGAACTATAATGTCAATTTCTGATTAAAGAAATTCGAGAATAAATTATGTACTCTGCTCGGCTCTCTTCACATTGAGATTGCATAATTTACTTTCTCCAGGGTAGGAGCTAAGGGCGAAAGTAATGGAAAATTCACTCCTCTCAACTTTTTGGTTTTCGTCCAGAATAATAAATTCGAGTGAAAATTACGAGCATTTTATGACTCAACCAGCTGCAGCTGTTTCTGTCAATCATAAATATTCAAGCTGAAGACTTCATATGCAATGCTAAATTCGAACTTGGTTTTTGGGAGAAAGTGACTTCAATTTAGCTCAAACCATCAGTCACCCAAAAATATACATATTTTGTAAAGCGAAAATTTTACAACGTTGGATAAATTTCACCCAACAATTTTTGTCATGTCAAATTAAATTTTACTTTATTTGGGGTGATGGTTACTGGTATCGGGTTTCGTTAACTTTTCGGAAATATTATTATAATATCTGGAAATATTGTGCAGGAAATGTAAGAAATTTAAGAAAACCTTAAACCTTGTTTGTCATTTACATATTATATTGCAGCAAAACAATAATGTCAAAGGAGTGGTGTTTGAGTAGCTGGAGAATAAGAAAGCATATCGATTATAAAATGCAGTTTATTCTAACGCATAATGCTTTCACTTTAATAGAGAAGTCCCAGGGCAAGTTTTTAATAAACTTTCACCCTCGAATTACACAGCAGCCGTTTTTGATAGGCAGTTGAGTTTCTCTTGGACAAAACCATTCCATTTTATGAAGTTTAATATGCTACTGCAAATCTTAAAATGAAGTTCAAAACGTTAGATCGGGGAAAGTTAAACTAAATTTGAATTTTCTTTATATGATTCATCCGCAGTTTGCATATATAATATTGCTTATTTAATCTTGTAAATACCCCGTTGACTAACAGGGCAGAGGATCTACGACATGCAACTTTTAGTTCGGCTGTGTAATTATACAATTTGGAAACAAATCTTTATGTATCAAAGAAAGTGCAAGAAACAATAATCAATTGTAACGGGTTTAGCAGGATTACAATCCATTTAAATAAGTAAATTTAGCTTCTTAGTTTCTCCCTTTCCCATTTATTAATCGATTCAGGAATTATGGAAAGTTGATTGAAAACAAGTAGTTTGGAAACCTAACGGAATGCAATAAAACGTGATCATTTATTGCATCCATGCATAATTTTAATGGACAAATACACCTGTCATTTGAATACATTTTCTTCATTATGCTTTTCAGAATCCACTATAGCGCTAGTTTAAGGAGGCATTTATCCATATTTCCGTGTATTATAATACTCGCATATGGCAAAGTGCACAATTTAGCCAATATATTGCTTATTAACCGACCTAAGAATAGTTAACTGATTACAGAGTACTTTCTCGCTGAAAAAATGCGCATGAAACAAATGCAAATAACTAAATGCCCACATAATCAAATAAATATGTACGTGACACGCAACTGCAAACCGTTTCATGTCCCTGACCCGCCCTTAACATGAACAATTCATCTCTTTCTTCGCCCACACAAAAACGATGAAAACCCTGAATCAGAAAAATAAGTAATCAAACTACTCTCTTTAATTAAGTTTTCAGCAATTTCGCTTTGTTCACTACTGAACGCGTAGTGAACACGTAGAAATAAACATGTTCAACGCTATAATAGGGGAAGAATGACAGGTGAGGGAATTATGCAATTTAGATTTAGATTGCCATAATGTATGCAGTCGTATCTGCGGGGTATACGTGTATGAACCAGGTATGACAATGTTATAACGGTGAAAGTTGGTAGATTAATCTTTAAGATTTGTAGTAAAACTACAGTGAAATGATATTTTTAATTAAATTTGCATACAAAATTGACTTGATCATGTTATTTTGCAACGGATTTTCTGGTACAAATTTTTGGATTCATTAATTGCGCATACTGCACAACCTCGAGCTCTCTAACTTAATCCTTATAATATCGCAATATAGATATCACTACGAAACCCATAGAATTATTAGTTTTCCTCCCGTCGTCACCAAACGCTTCATTTCCAGACAAACTTTTTCTTTCACATTTTTGCGATTTGGTTCCATACTTTTAGTAAAACTAGGGAAGAAGATGCAGCAGCCTTTTTACTTATTTTCACTAATTCTCCGTCCAAATGGGGGTCCTTCGCATTCCCAAGTTGGTTGGTTTAGATACTGGAGAAAGTTGGAGAAAACTCTTCTCTGATATAAATAATCTGATAATTTTGGAAACAGAAGTTGCAGCACTTATAAAACTTTCCTAATCAGTGTTCAGACTAAAACTGAGCAAGTTTGGAAATACGGTCCAACTTCATCCTTTACCACGAGGAAAACTTTCTTGTTCTTTGTTATTTTATCAGATCGAAGTTTTTTTAGAGATTTGAATTAAACTCACACAAGGTCGCCTTGAACATAGTGACTGCACTTCTGGGTTCATCGGTACCACAATGTTTTACCTCAAAAGCATGTAATAACGGATATAAAGCTATCTGGTCACGTTTTGGACATGAGACGTGCAAACTAAATATTACATCAATAAACAGAACCAGGTGACGAAAAGGTTAAATAAGTTTGCCTTTTTGTTTTTATCGGAACTTTTATTATGTAATATTACTAGGAATTTTGGGCACATGTTCCCCAAATGACTATTTTTTAGGGATCCAACCCCACAAAACCAATTTAGTGCAGTTGTGACAACTCATAATCCGCTTGGAGATTAAAAATCCTCGCACATGCCATCATCTACACCCTTCTCTGTGGCATAGCATAACAAAAACCACTTTGAGTTTCATGAACAAGTTAAACTTTTAGTGTTACTTATTTACGAAGGTGAAAAATAATTAACCATAAGAAGTATGTATTTTTCCTCAATCGGGACATTTCTGGTTATACCACAGTAGAAATAATATAGTGAAAGTACAACTAAAATCAGAAAGCACTCATGTGCTCCTTCTTATTCATGGGAATATGAGAAAGCTGTTTCCTGTTGTTCACTTTCTTGAGAAGGGGAAGTGAAATGAGATGGAACTGACGTGCCATTCTCATGTCAAGTTAGTTCACGTCACGTCAGAGCTAATTCTTCTTGAGTGAGACTCATTAAGGAGGTGCATTCTTCTTCTTGCTTTATGCTAGAAATTATTGTTATCTCTAGGTGGCTGGCATTTGACGTACAATTAGTAGAGTAGAAATTGCTTGATAAGATTCCTATTGTTATATCTCCTGCTGGTATTTAAGGAAGCCAGATAAGCAATGTTTTTATCCAGTCAAATTTTGTTTCGTACAATCAGAGATTAAATTACCGAGGATTTTAAGACCTATTTAACACAGTAGAAAAACTCATCCTTTTAATTTTATCAGACATTTTATCAAAATTTTGTTTGTTCCAGTAAAGAACTTTCCCAATTTCATTATTCTAGTTTCCTAATGGATTTGAACTTTGGAATAATTCAACTTCATTCAACTGGGTCATCTTTAAAAGTGCCATTTATTATTACAAATTAACAACTTTATTTATCGGCGAAATATATTCGCAAGCCTCATCTTGCCCACGAAATATTTCACTGGGCAAAATATCCCGATCAACAAAAATTATTACTTTTGCGTCAAAGTAACGCATCCATGGTGAAAATTTTTAACAAACAAAAAAAGGCATGATTATTGCATAAATTTTGTGCTAAGTTTGGTGTGCACCGTGAGACACGCTAAATTTGCATTAAAAAACTGTAACGTATGGTTGAAAAATTATTGCACCCAAACGTGCTGAGATATTGCGTAAAAATACCGCACCAATATCTCGTCAATACCCACATTACATGAGGCGTTAAAATCATGCAATTTATACGCAATGAATGGTGGGTGCGAAGAGACAGGCAACGCGCGAGAGTTTGAATCTAAGAGAAGCGTGGTATTTCCTTTTCTCTCCCACCCTCGCAGTCTCGTAAATTCCCTGTTAATTTAATTCCCTGTTAATTTATCTGTTGTCTCAATGTCGCCAAAAAAATATTACATAATTGAATTCCCCCCTGATAAATACAATTCAGTGCCTGTGGAGCTTGTTCTAAGTCACTGGGTTATCCCCGCAGAGAAAGTTTGTCTCTGGCCACCAAACTCTGGGCCAAGTATTAGAAATTTGATAAAAAAGGGCACTGCTATTCCTGATGTCAAGTGGGGAAGAGTTAGCTACGCCAGGATTATTGGGAATTACGGTAAATAGCTATTTAATTCAAGTTATGAGAAGTCATTCCAATTATTTTACATTTACTAACAAATATCATTATTTTAGATGATTATGAAGTTGCGACAAAAAAACTTCAAGTAGCCGAGGACACTTCCAACTTGGAAAGTGAAACAGAACCAGAAAGCAGATTAAGGAGCAAGAAGATAATTCCCGATATTCAGCCCAGCAGCACACGAGGGGATGTAACGTCTTCATCCGATGAGGAGGATAGCGACGCGAACAAAAACAGTCCTCCGTCTGGCTCACTTCTGGATAATTTGGAGCTGGGTAGGCTTATAATACTGCCACAAATATTTTATACTAATCATTATGGTGATGCTTTTTAGACCAACCATTGAGCATTCCTGAAATAATTCCCGAAACTGAAGAGCAAAGCAATCTACAAGTAGGAAATCAAGGTGAAACTGGAGACACCTCTTTTGTTGTTGTAAATTCGCAGGAGTTAAATGATTTACGGCTGTTGATTTCAAGTTAGTACAAGCAAAATAATTTTATTAAAATTGATGTATTATGTTAACGCTTTGTAATCACGTTGCAGGGACAACGCAAAGTGTGCTAACTTTGTTGGAAAAGCAGGCTGAAGACATTAAAGACATTAAGGCTTTACTGATTAATGTGAAACAAAGGCCGGATGGTAGGAAGGCTCCCAATTTCAGTGCCATTCCAAAATTACCCCTCGACAACGAGGTAGCACTGGCGGAGTTTGAATCTTGGCTCGAGGTGGATTCAAATCGCGAATTACTGGTACGATTTAATCGAGATATTTTACATGCATAATTAAACTTTAATGTTTTTTCTTATATTTGATACTAGGTTGAATATTTGGCATTTTCAACTGCGACACAGATCGAGGCGAGCACTAGAAAAATCTTGAAAAAATTATTTACGAATGAATTTGGCAGGCGAATTAATTTTACGGGTAAAGGAAACAAGACATCGATGAAAAACCTAAAACTATTGGAAGTCGTAAAAGGTGCTAAAATATATTCTAAAATGAAGAAAATTTTCTAATTGTTGGTCTCTATTTAATGTTTAATTGGATTGCAAATTTCAGAAACCGTGCGAAACGTCTTTACAGTTGAGTCCGTTCCCGATCCCAAAAATCCCAGCGGCCGTATTCCCACCGATGATATAATTCAAACTGCAGCAATGAATTGGTTTCGTTCTTCAAAAAGTAGGTGCAACGACGACGCTCCCTCGGGAATTGCATCATAATCATGGATCGAGATGGAAAATCACCGAGAAACATTAGGCGAATAATTGCAAAACGGGTTAGAGAGAATCTCACTCGTGCAAAAAACATACCTGCTATTAGTAATAATCTTGTAAATTTAGATATATGTGATTCTGTCGTTGAGGATAGCGATTCAGGTAGTAATATTAGCAATAATGATAGAAGCAGTAATGTTATCCATAATAGTGACGAGCCATTAGTTTCCGATTCACTAAGCGACAATGGTGTAGTAGAAAATAATAGGAATATTTTAGATTTAACACGGGACTTGAGGGACTGGTCGCTTCGACATAACATAACGGGAGTAGCTTTAAACGATCTTCTACGCATATTTAACTTTTATCAAGAATTTAGATTTCTTCCATTGGATAGTAGGACATTGCTTAAAAACTCAATTAAATACTCTATGAAAACTATCGGTCAGGGTCAATATGCACACTTTGATGTTATTCAAAATATAAAACGGCAAATAGATTCCAATTGTATTCTTGCTTCTGGTAGCGAAATTAAATTAAACCTTATATTTAGTTTTGATGGATTGCCCATTTCTAAGAGTAACAGTAACCAGTTTTGGCCAATTCAAGCAAAGTGTGAAGAAAGTACGTACGGCGTATTTGTCGTGGGTTTATTTTATGGCAAGACAAAACCAGAAAGTATTGACGAATACTTGATGGATTTGATAGCAGAGTTAAAAAGTTTGCGAGTTGGGATTAGTTACAATAATTTGAAAATATTTTGTAAGGTTTCAAAAATAATAGCTGATGCGCCAGCCAGGAGTTTTTTAAAGCAATGTAAAAGTCATAATGCATACAATGGATGCGAGAAATGTATAGATCCAGGTTTCTGGAAGGGACGTGTAATTTTCAGAACATTCGATAGTCCACTTAGGACATCAAGATTTTTATGTTCAAAAAGATAAACACCACCATGTAGGCATTTCCCCGTTTACGGAGCTTAAAATTTTGATTATTTCTTCGGTTCCTCTTGACTACATGCACCTCATTTGCTTAGGTGTGGTTAGAAAACTATTAAGAAGTTGGGTAAAAGGTCCATTGCCATTTAAATTATCTTCTCGTGATATTTCAACTTTATCAAGTAAATTAGTATTATTTTCGCATAGTTGCCCTAAAGAATTTTGTCGTAAGCCGAGGTCAGTAAAAGAGTTAGATATGTGGAAAGCGACAGAGTTTAGAACTTTTCTTCTTTATACAGGACCCGTCGCTTTAAAAGGATTATTGTCGCCGAAAAAGTATACACATTTTTTAAATCTTTGCGTAGCAGTCACGATTCTTATAACTACCAAGGCGCAAGCAAATAATTGGAACGATTATGCACGACAGCTTTTATTGAAGTTTGTTAAAAATGTTCCCAATTTATATGAAGAAGAGTTCTTATCATATAATATGCATTCTCTTATACATATTAGTGATGACGCTTTAAAGCATGGCCCGTTAGATTCTTTTAGTGCTTTCGATTTCGAAAATAATATGCAAGTAATAAAGCGCTCGCTACGAGCTCACTATAAACCTTTTGAGCAAACTGTGAATCGCACTGCTGAGAGAGAAAATCATATGTACCAGTCCCCTGTGAATTTAAATAGACACTGTATTATAAAATCGAACGGAAAGGATCATTGTTTTATATTAAAGGATGGGAAAGTAGTTGTTATAAGTAGTATAAGTAAAGATAAAAAACATATAAATTGTAGAAAATTCAAACACTCGGACAACTTGTTCACTTGTCCGTGTGAAAGTAAAATTTTAGGAATAATTAAAGTTAGCAAATTATCAAATAGCGTAACCATAATAGGTATTAATGATATTGATAAGAAATGTTGGTTACTCCCGTCGGATAAAATAGATGAAAACATTTGCATTCCCTTGTATAATGTAACAATATAATTTTTGTTATGAAATAAATGATTTTGATAAAAATTAATAATTCGTGTTATTTGACTGCAGTAATTGCATGGAGTTTAACTGCAAGTTTTGCATCAAATTATTCGTTTCTTTTGCGCAATATTCTATGCTATAAATTGCATTAATTTGACGGTTATTTCTACGCAATATTCTTGAGGCTAAATTGCATGAATATGACTGTCATATGACTGTCATCTAGTATCTTTTCACGGATTTTTGCCGGCCATCAGTTGCTGCAATTTAACTGTATGACTTTTGCGTAAAAGTGATAGCTTTTGTTGATCGGGATATTATATCTATCTTCAATCTTTCTTTTTGTAGTACAGTAGATACATAATGCCAAAGGAGAGAAAGATTTCACTCTTCCACATGTCGTCATTTTCCAAATATCTTCCCACCAGATCTCGAACAAGGCCATCGCTGGCGTCATAATTCCATTAGGACAAGACGAATACGAAGAACAAGGAATTTTGTTGGCGAGGGAGGGAGCAACCCCTTTCATCCTTTTTTTCTTACCGAGAAAACCACTCTTCAACATTGCCTTCTTTCACAAGAAAGTGGTTGCATGGATGAACTGCATTTTCTTACATACACTTTTTACTTGCGCACATCCTTACTAAAAATAAGCCCCGTTATAATAGTACAAGATGTGTCTCCCGACTTGTTTTTTAAAAAACCCTAGGCCCAGGCCCATTAAAACTGTAGAATTGAACATATTTCGTAAATGCCCCCATTTCCCAGTGGTCAGTCGTCGTCTCTTTGTGTCGACTTTCTGTTTGGTCATGTTTGACAAAGTGACACAACCACGGGTGAAGGAACACTCGAATGATACGACAACTTGTTAGTTTACTTCTGCCCTTGTTGGTTCGTCGACGTCCGACAGACAACAATGTAGACTCCGCAGAGATGTAGCAATTCGTCCCCCTCTTCCTGAGACACAGTTGCTCAATTATTGTCATTTTGAGAGGGACAAGATTTACGAGGAACCAAACCGAGGTATCTCTACTTTCCCTCTTTTGTCCACTTTCTCTTCCTCCGGGTGGATGCATGGGTCAGCAAAAGATGAGATAGAGGAAGGAAATTGTTTACTTCGGGGCTACTTATTTCACTCAATAATTTACTCTTAATTATACACACAATATACAATAATGAATACCATCTAGGGATCCCAATCCCGGACGATTTTTAAAATCCCGGGAATCGGGAATCCCGGTTTTAGCCGTGAAAAACCCCCCGGAAAACCCGGGAATTTTTCCCGAAATTTAAATTGTGACGAATTATGCCTTCCCGACCTTAATTACGACACAATTTGCATATCCAATGCAATTCCCAGGTTCTTACTGCTAAATTGTGATGAGATAATCACCCACAACTCTTTACACTATAATAAATATGACACCACGACATAGATTTACAATTGACAAAAGCCCCACAATTTATTCCCACCAGACTTCAATATATTGGAGGGAGAGAGAAAAATAACTAACTTGACCAAATACATACAATTGTCACTTCTCGTGACCAAATAAGAAACTTTGAGGTGCTGGAGAGATGCCTCTATCAGCACATTACCTGCAAAGATGCCTCTGCAGTGCCCTAAAACATACCCTTTGACCTTTTCTTCCTAATAATTTCTGCTGCTGTTGTCGCTGGAATCTCTTCTTCAGCACGGCAGCAGCTCGAATCCGCAGGTCCTCTCTCGACCGAATCCAACCACGAACTGACTGATTTTTGTTCGAGCTCGCAGTTTTATGCTACGAGCCAAGACTCATCCTCATGACAACTCAAATTACCCCTAAACTACTTTCTCCATAAATATAATATTAATAATATTCTCTCCCTTACAAAATATTACCTTATAACTTGGGTCAAGTCAAATTTGGGTGTACAAAAAGGTACATGGCTCTCAAAAGTACCGAGACTGAGCATATTTATAATTAGTGCTCGGCGCGAGACGAGACTATCTCGAAAATTTCGAGACAAGACGAGATACGAGACGAGAGGAGACCAACTTTTTCGTCTCGAAAGATTTCGGGACGAGACGAGACCAACGCCATCTCGTCTCGACAAATCTCGGTCGAGACGAGACGTCTCGATACATCAAAAATTTAGAAATTTAGCAGCAAATTCTCCGTCCTCTAGCCTTCTGCAAGGAGCGAGCAGCTTTGGGAAATGCAGTATCCTTCAAAAATTTTTTTAGAGACAATAGATAAAACGAATAATTATGATCAAAACTTTAACCAGTTTGCAAATATCCTGATTTTTACGTAAAAGACACTCAAATATGACACTAACTATATAACTCCAATTATAAATTGTATATACTGCGGGTAACGATTTCTTCGTATCCATATCCCAAGTATTCTATGTATATGTAGTAACATAAGCCATGACGGTTACGAGTCATTCAGGTATTTCATGTTAGCCTTCGTAATCTCGTAACTACGTTCATAAGCCTGCGAAGATCAGCTTACGAACCAAAAATTTGACTTACTGGGTAAAAATCATATACAAGAGATATTGGTACGTTTTGTCAAAAGCTCGTAAGGTTAGTAAGTTTACGTGTTTACGTACTAACGAAAATTGACGTGAAATGACTCAATGGAAGCGTCGTAAACTTTTGTCGTCCCGTTACTAGCTTACGATTAAGATTTATCCTTTATTTTTTTGTGTAAACTACTAGTATGTAGTTTACTATATAAGGAATACAAGGCCAATTATTAATATTCTAAATATTTGCAGTTTGTGTATTTGTATTTTGTAATTATCTGAAGAATACAAAAGATATTTTGAAAAACATGGATGAATGTCGAGACATCTCGTCTCGTCTCGACCGAGACGAGACGAGATGACAAAATCGTCATCTCGTCTCGTCTCGAGTCACTTTCGAGACGAGACGAGACAAGGCAATCTCGTCTCGTCTCGTCTCGTGCCGAGCACTATTTATAATACCTCCTTCTGTGTTTTTGGGATCTGTGCCTGCAGAAATACTTAAAGTATGCTATTTTCTGGCCTACACAAAATAATATTTTGAAAATACATACATATTTATGTACTGTAGCAATACAAATTAGTAATTATATTGTTTTGCCTACT